AGTGTCAGCAAGTGATCCTATTTCAGTCAGCACACTGTAAGGCCATACCAAGGTCTGAATGTCATTTGGCACGAAGGGATTCATGCAGGCAAACAGCCATGGGAGGAGGCCTAGCCAACATGCAGCATCAGCACAAGTGGATGTACAGCTGACAGTGTGTGTATTCAGAGGAAGTGAGTTTGTTTAAAAACAAACACTCACATATTCTATCAATGTTTTCCTCAGTGTCAGTACTGTAATATCTCTACCCTCATTATGGAAATGCATTGGGGTTTCTCCAGTTCTCTGAAAAAAAGGGATTTGAAGATAATCCTGAACAGCAGATAAACATCAAGCTTACCTCCAAAATAAATTCTGGCATATTTGGCTATATCTACAGATGTCTGGGAGAGATGTTCCCATTTCCTGAATGAAATGTGTGCAACCAGCTGAGCTGTTCCATCCCCAGCTCTGAATTCAAGTTAGCCTTGAATATTGACTTGAGGAGGCCAGGAGATGTCAAATTTCCTGACCTTTTTTGGAAGGAGAGAAGGGCACCTGTTCATCAAAGTAGGTGATGCATGTCAGGTGAAAGAGAAAGGAATTCTGGCCCCAGAATAAAGCAAGTGAAAAAAGGGCTTTCTGGAGCTCTCTACTGTAGGTGTGCATGCACAGAGCTATGCATGTGCATGCACCATGTTACTCAACGTTTGTGGATGTGTATGTATGCAGACTCCTTTGGTGGAGCACTTTCATGACCATGTGTTGAACCAGAGGGAAAATTTATCAGGTTATAAAAGTCTCACTGGGCTGATCTTCTATCCTGTTGTATCCTTTCCTATCTTTTATCATATGAGCACATAAGAAAGACTTAGAAAGTTACTAACACTGAATGATGTTGTCTGCAATCACAGAGCTTATCTCCACAACTAGCATGAACATTATTCTATAGGATATGCAGATCAGACAATCTGAGAGACAGATATTCTATATTTGCCTGGTAAATGATGCTGTTTTCTCTAGTTCACTAAGCTCTGCAGAAGGAAGTATTTTCTATGATAAAGAGGGTGAACTGCTTTTCAAACTGTACATCATCTTATCTGACACATGGCCATACTCTTTGCAGCTCCACAAGAGTTAGAGACTATTATTTTCTCTTAGTCACTTTGTTTGATACCTTCACATCTTTCTTGAGACTCAAAATACAAGATGAACTACTAGCAGTGAAACAACTTGTACAGCAATGCTGCTGTAATACACACAGCAGTATCTAGTACACTAGTGCTAATGAAAGTAACAAATGCAGTCCCTTTACTGCTTGGCACTGTGTGTGCATGGATCAGCCAACTGCAGATTAACAAGGCTCTGCTGCACCCAAACAGGTCCACTACTTATCCCACATTAAGATTGTACTTCATATGTCTTAAATCACACAACCAAAGCTTGCTGATCTGGTTCTTCCTCTTCTGGATTCATACCTTTGTCCCTCGCCATCTACATAGAGGGTGGCAAGTTTCAAATAGTGACTCAAGAAGTGCAGGCAATCCTTCTAAAAGCACTGCAACAAAGACTAGTAAACTCCCTGGAAAACTCACGTCCCTATGGTGTAGTCTGTGATTGAACCTAACCAGTGTGTTGGTATGCAGAAAATGTACATTCAACCCCCAACCTGTCACCGACCTTGAAGAAGTCATTTAAAGTATACTGAACAGCCATTTACTCAACACAAGTTTTGGTGAGCCTGTCTATAGTGTAAGATATTACTCACATATACCTCATCATCTGTAAAATAGGTATATTGCAGCTCTCCTGACTCACAAAGTTTTACAACTTAATTCATCATTCTTTGCTCATTGCTCTGGGATTCCATGGTGAAAGAGAAAACATAACTGAAAATTAAGCAAAGATCCATCTAGTCCAATACCCTGACTCCAGTATTGACAGATAGTGGCTACTGAGGCAAAGGCAGCAGGAAAATGAGGACAACATTTCTCTTGGCATATTCCCCAATATTTAGGAATGTATGGATTTCTTCACCCAGAATCTGCATCTGAGCCATTGTGTTCAGCTGCCACTGATGGAACTATCCTTCATGAATTTGACTAATTTCTTTTGAACTCATCAGTACTTTTGGGTTTCACACAGGCTGAAGAAGCATAAAGCATTTCTGTCTACCATATTGACAATGTAATGTGCTATTTCCCCATCATGTGACAGTGTTACTGGGAGTCACCCTCCATCATCTCAAATACAAAGAACTTAAAAATTAGTTTTGTGTTTTTCTCAGCTGTTACTGCTGTTTTATGAACCCTGAAGCTGGTCATCCTCCCAGTCCCAAAGCTAGTGAAGAAATACATAAGACAGAGTTTCTCCTGGCAGAACAAAAGCCCCACAGAGCAGAGTAAAACAATGAAGCTGTTAAGTTCACAGCTTGTGGTTTCTCTCAGCTTGCTTTGGCAACTCAGTATGGGGAATACATGTAGGTGGAGCTGGAAAACTTCTTGCTTAAACTTGAAGGAGGCACGTTTTCCCCTATGATCCTCTAAGCACCTTTTTACACAAGACCACAGGAAATAATAAATCCCTGCTGTGCTTCTAACTAGCACAAACAGCCATGGTCCGGATATTAATCTCTCAATTTAGGTAAACAAAAAGTAATTCAGCAGCCACGCCTTAGCACGTTTCCTCAGAGCAGGGAAAGTGAGTTTGTTTCACTATCCCTGCAGAGCTGCAGGTAACAGCCAGGAAAACATCCTAGCTGTGGAGTAATTCCAATGAAATGAAACATCAGAAAGCATGTGGTGCTTGCCAGAATCCTGTCACTGGGGCACCTCACTTCCCTTCTCAGAAAAGAGAAAGCTGCACAGAAAGATGCAGTCAGAGAATAAGCAGTTACAGGTCCGACGTAAGTTTGGTTCCTTCCAGATACAACCTTTCCCTTGTCATGTCCAGTGCCCCTGAGGTTTTTCACAAACAACCCCTCTTAGTTCCCTTGTCATCTCCCAACTTTGCTGCTGCTCTTCAGATCTACCCCCTCCCATCCAGTTCAATGTGCCCTGTGTGAAGATTTCTTTCCCATGCAAATGGTTCCTAGGGCCTCCTGTACATAGGGAAGTTTCATAATGACTAGACAGATGCAGAGTCACTGGTACATCCTGGTAGCACCACTAAAGCAGTGAACCACTGGGGAGGCAAAGCTGTCTAGGAAACCAACAGACATTTGTGCTTAGCCTTACCTGGGAATGCTGGTTAGATATGTGACCACGTTCAGAAAATCTTCATCAGGTATTTCACTGAATCCCGCAAATTCTGGAAATGTTATAATGGGTGCCCCATCCTTCCCTCTTCCTCCTGCAAAAGAGAAATTGTAAAGTTTAGAGGGTGATTTTATGCTGTTGGACAGACTGGTCAGTATTCAAATGGATAACACTGGCATATCCCTCCTTGTAAAACACCCAGATCCAGTACACATGTGCTCAGCTTCCCATTTGATATTATAACTCAGTGTAGCTTCAATACCTCAGTTTACTCCAGCTGACATTCTAGCCCCTGTTTATTCTCAGCTTTTTCATGAACCTTCTGCATAATTCTGCTTAAGTGCTTTTTTTGGTCTTTTGTTTCCCATTTCCAAGTATTTTCTTGTGATAATATTACAATATTTCCCTATGTATAAGTACAGCACTCTCAGATTCCTTCTAGGCATGAAAGGAAATGGAGTAAAAGAGCATACAGGCTTTGAATACACAGGCCTGGGACCAATCCAGTCTTAGGTCTCTCCTCAACGAAAAAAAAGCTGAAAGTGCACGGAGTATTTAACCAATGAGTTTTGCTATTGTCTTGTTTATTTGCATCAAACCTCCATTAAACACAACAAGAAGGTCATAAACAGCAAGGTCAAGAAAAGTCCCTTTGTGAGGGATTCCCTGATCCAAACTCTGGTACAGCTACAGGAAGCATGGAGCCCAGTCCCTTATAACCAAGCAGCCTTTACAGTTCTCCTGACACAATGCTCAGCTCTAGGTGATGTTTTAGTACACAGTACAAACTCTGTTTACTTGCAGGACCAATCCTAACTTGATTTCACTAATAAACCTGGGCAGCACTCCAAGCACACAGAATTTAAGGGGGGTTTTCTCACCAATTTGGACTAACGAGGCAGCAGCACATAAAGGAATATGATGAAGCTGTTGTTACAGGTACCTTATTGCTTAGTGCTGCATACACAGGCAATTAAGGACATGCTTTTCCCTGAGTCTTTCTCCTTTCATTGTAATCTTTATGTAAATCTCATTTTTTTGCACCAGGCTCAGGAATTCTCTACCAACCCAATGCTGAGCGTAGTCCTGCAGCCCACACAGTTTTCTTAGTCATTTATCACCCACAGAAGATTCTTGTGCAAGGAATTGCCATGCTCTGGGCTTCCCTTTAGTGAAGGGGAAACTATGAGAGTGAGACAAAAGATTACCTTCCTCAAGGAAGATATCCAATAAATTACCCCATCAGGAGAATGAGAGGAAACAGAGACTTGGTGGGGGGAAAAATGAGTTCACATTCCACAAAAGTACCCTCTAAATCCCCATAAACAAACCCTGTTTCCAGGCTGCTCCCCATAGACCATTGCCTTTGCCTTTGTCAGCTAAAGATGCAAACCAGTTTCTCCTGCTCCTGTTTTGGTGTTCATTGCAAAGAGGTGGCAGTAATTTCTAGCTATTTCTGTGTAGAGTGGCCAGTCCCGTGCTAGTCCTGATCCTGCTTCTGCCCAATCCTTCCAGACTCAGTTGGATTATTTAAGATTCCTCCTGTGCTGTCCAGCCATGGAGAGTTGAGATGCTGAGGAACACAGTGTTTGCATAAAGGAAAATTCAGAGCTCTAGAAAACAGGATTTTTGAAGAAGGAAACCCATTTTCTTCTTGACATCTGGTGACATGCTGGCTTTGTCAGCACACTACCTTTAGCCCCTATTTTCCTTTCTGAAGGTTGATTATTGCTTTAATTACTCTGAAAATGACTCAGTCCTGTTAGATCATTCACTAAACTCACCCTACTAGGAAGAAAAGAGGCCTACAGAGATTCAAAAGGCTTTCAAGCAACTTGCAAAACAAGAATACCATCATTCACACTGTGCTGGATTGGATTTCAAATACTGAGCAGAGTCACGACCTCCACATTGACCTCCACATTGGCCTTGGAGTGATGCCATGTGCTGATGCACGGCAGCTGGATCTCAGGGCACTCCAGCTGCACTGTCTGCAGTCAGCAGTGAGGGAGAATGTGCCGTCATGCAAATTCAGCCAGACTTTCCCCAGACTGCTGCACTCTAGAGACCAGGAACTGCAACCAGCAGGTTCCCAGTTAGGCTGGTTTGTTACATATTCTCAGTGACATCTCCTGGACACAAACAGAAACAGCCAAGCAATTTAAATAGCAAACTTGTCTGCTCTGTCTCTTCTTACAGAGTTTAGTACATGCCAAGGTATTTCATAGCAGTATCTTGTGGGCAATCACATGGTTCCTGGGCACCACACTTTCCCATCCACATATTTCAAATACATGAAGATACTTTCAATGGGGGAGATGTAGTAACCTGGACTGTTTTGGTTTAGAGCAGCACTATTTGCTCTGGAGCATAAGATATAGATTCCCCTGGATCCTCTCCTTCAAAACCTGATAGTTTACCTGCTGTTATACTCAAGATTTGTTTAAACTATAAGTTTCAAATGGTACTTCTAATGCTCCTGTTGACCAGGGCTTCTTTGTGTCCCTTTTATTTTCTCTTTCTCTCGCATCTACATTCACACATTTGCTCCTCTTTCTCTGGCCTCTTCCCTGAGCTAGGTGAGGCAGACTGATGACACACTGTGGGTGCGTATTTGTGCCATGGGATCTTCTCCTATAAAAAGCCATCCAAGGAATGAATGTTAGCAGACTGAACACTGACTTCTTCCCTTCACCAATGCAAACAAATCTAGAAGGACAGTCAGGAGCAGTGTCAGACTGAGTATTCAACTAAGAGCCAGAGCTCCTGCCTCTGACTTGGCCACACACCCTGAACAGCTCCTGGGCTCCGTCTCATTCTCCATGGTGAAGGTAACACTTCCTGCTGCAACCAAGCCAGAATGCTCAGACAGTTCTTCCTGATGGGGAAACAAACCAGGAAACCTTCAGTTCCTGCCATATCAGGAAATCAGAGTGACGTTTGAGAGAGTTTTGTGATCAGAAATTGTGAAGTACTATGACAAGGAGAGATCAGGAATGTCTGAAATGTTGGGTGACAAGTAATAACACAAATATGTTAGGAATGGTTTGTTTCTGCCCATATCTGAACCTCGAGCAGTAGTTGACTTAGAAAGGAAAACAATCCATGCCCATTTATCCATATATCTAGCAAGATAACAAGCATGGATGTTAAGGGACATAAGGGAACCTTCTTAAATACCAAGGGTGTCTGGAAAATTCTCTCATATGTATGAAAGAGCAGTTCCATATATATAAATGTTAATGCCATGTTTTTCCCTGACACTAAACCAACATTTGCTGCAGTATGCAAATTTCTGCAGAATGTGAATTGACAAGATGCAACCCTTTATTTTTCTGGGCCATCAACCTTGCTTTCTAGGGAGTTGCCACTGTCTTTCTTTCAGTCCTTGAAATATTTCAGCTGGCTACTACTCAATGTCGTGGAAGGGCAGAGAGCACAAACTAAAAACCATCAGGGACAGCCTTCAGTCAGTTCCACAGCCATAAGGACTGAGTGCATGGAATTTGGCCCCAAGGACTGCCTGTCCCTGTGCTTGCTGGGACTCTGCATAACCCCCACACTCCTTGGCGTCACTTGTGAAAAGAGTCCCAAATAGAAAATTTTACTGTCCATCATAGATAGATAAGGCAGACAGGGACAGAACAAGCTCCAGCAGCTCCATGGAAGGCCAAAAGAAAAAGGCAATACTCAAGAGGAAAAGAAAAAGACATTTTATATAGAAAATGAGGCCAGGAAGAGGGAGACATGAACACAGCACAGAGGTGAGAGGAGTTACCTTATGGCTATCTGAGGCAGGTCTGCTCTATGGAGCAGACTCTGTGCAGCAGGGTAAGGGGGTGCCAGGAGCAAAGAAGCTCAGAGAGAAGCCAGAACTACATGAGGCATGAGCTGAGCTAAAAGGCCCCATGGGAGAAGCAAGCAATACCTTTTGTTTAGTGCAGTCAGAAGCAGAAACAAAGACACACTGAAAAGGAGATATCAAGAGTCGTGATGCCTGGCAGCTTTCTTCATGCAATGTACAGGCCTCTGTCTCTCTGACTTGCAGCTCTTCCAGGCACCATTAGATGCCACTCTGCAGCACTCTTCAAGCAACCCAGCCACCTCCAACACCTTCTGGCAGCTCCAAATGCTGGCGCCCAGACATGGAAACAGCAGCTGGTGGCAGTGGCCATTGCAAGCAGCAGCCACAAAAGCTGTAGGTTCAGCTGGCAGCAGGAGAAGTTCAGGGCTATCCCCTAGCTGAACTAACATGAGGCTCACTCCTGACTCTGCCTTAGGGAATTCAGGCCATCCCACAGGCAGTCTCCCAGGGGTCACTGCTCCTCAGTCAGACTCCAGACTGCTCTGTCATAACTATCCCCATTTTTTCCTGCAGAGGAAACTCAACCAGATTTTGTCTGCCATCTCCTGTGCAGACCTGAGCTCCCCTCCCAGACAGCATCTACCAGTGCAACACATGCTGATGCCCTGATTCAGTTCCCTCAAGCTCCTTTGGGAGGTCCATCTCTCTGCTTTCTACCTTTGCAGAGAGCATCCTGCCTTGCATCCAACCCAAACTCACTGTGTCAAAGTCATGGACCCACTGCTGTTTGAGGAAGGGCATTCTGACTAAATTCTTTGGTAGGTGATTGGAGGTGCATCAAACTCAATAACTTGGAGCACAACCAAGGCAAACAACATCAGGATTTGGACGAGCAGAGGGCTGGACTGCTTGGGAAAAGGCAGAACTTACAAGGAATAGATTACAAGTCAACTTGACCTTCTCTCCAGTTTGTCACTCAGAATGAGAATGACAGAATTCCTTCCCTCCACTTCCTGGGCACTTTATTGATTTTCCACCCCAGCTTCTTGCTCAACTTTGTCTTTTCTCTCATGGCCCAAGGGCAAAGGGAAAAGAAGAACCTGGGTGACAGGACAGAAGCACAGAGTGAATGTGGAAGGGAAAGAAATGCAGGAGAGACAGCACAGGGCAATGTATCGCAGGATATATCAGGGTAGTACAAGGCAGGGCAAAGGGACCAACACTTGCTCTTAATTATGACAAATCTCCAAGTCCCAGGACACAGAGCAACATTCATGGTTACTCCTATTAGATTTTCCAGCTGCCAATGCAGCCTGGCTAGCTGTGGCCGTAAAGATGCGGCTGGAATTCAGCTGTGGAAACAAAACAACAGAAGTGTTTGGGGAAGGAATATATGTGGGGGAGAAAGAGTTATGGCATCAGAGAAAATGTAATTTTGCTTTGCAGTGTAAAGGGTGTGACTGACAAATGAGGTGTGAGTGCTGAATTCTCAGAGCTCTCACAGCTGAAGTTCCATGTTGGCATGACTGATGTAAAAGCAGCCAGGAATCACAACTGCATGCCAAGTTCCTGGACATGTTGGGGATCTCAGAAAATCTCCCACTCCCCAGTTCTAGACCACCTATGCCTCCTATCCAGGCACCAAAAATATCCATGGTTTAGACAATCAAGAGCTACACTGAACTCTTGTTCCACAGCCAGCAGCTCTTCTAACTAGAGATCACCAAATATGCTGAATCCCTTGGGAAAACAAAAAACCAAACAAAAACCACCAAAATAAAACCCCACCAAAAAACCCAGCCAACAAACTAACCTAAACCCCCCAACAAATCCAACAAACAGGCTAAGGACAGGAGAAGTTCCAAAAGTTTGTCTGCACATTTACAGATCTCACCTCCCCAGCCTGCCACAGACACTAACTCATCACTTAGTATTGGAAAGTGTTCTTTGAAAAGTTGCTGACACGTGCAGGCTAACTGCTTGGGCCTGCCCACATGCAGAGAGCTCCCTGAGTCATACCAGCCCTGAGCTCAGTTCATCTTCTGGAACAGACAGACAAAAGTTCAGTGATATCTTGGCTGAAGTTTCACTGCTTTGGTCAGGTTTTGTTTTTTCTATGCTCTGTTGCTTTGGTTTTCCATATTGATTAATTTCTCATTAAATCCTGCTTCCTGGGTCTCAGGTTTTATACAAGCTCCAAACTGTCCTTTTGGCAAGGTCAGGCCAGGTTTTCCAAAAGGCTCAGTTTAAACAGGAAGCAGATGGCCAAATACCCTCCAGGCTTTGGAAATTAAATAAACTGGCTTCCCAGTCAGTTACCATTTTCAGATATAGTCTCCCATGCACTGAAGTCTGTTGACTTAACAGGAGCAGAACACAAAGAAAATGATTCTCTCTGCTAATACACTTCGTGATAGTTTGTCTAATAAATTCGTGATTTAGTAACAGGATCCATTATTGCTGCAAATGGCAGATTGGGCTCTTTGTCAGAGTAATTACAGATAAGAACAGGTTGTGAAGCTGCAGATAAAAAGAAGGGGGTAGTAGCCATTCCAAGAGCAGATTGGTACAGTGGGTTATTACTCTGTCAGCAGGACAGAAACAGTATTTTACCAGTGGTTCTTTACTCTTCAGTTAAAACTGATGTATTAGAATAGCTAGGTTTTCAGTACTACCCAGCTTTGTGATCCAGTACCCTTAACAGCTACAGAAAACACACAAACATAGCTGAGCACTCCTGTGTTGTCACAGCTGTAGTCCCATAATTGGGAGTTCAGTTTGCAGGGAAAGGAAAGAGGCACTAGTGGTTTCAAAACTAGAATTTAACCACAAGAACCAGCACTCCTACCAGATCTCACAAGCTAAGCAGGGCTAAATCGGCACATGGAAAAAGAGATGACCAAAGAAAATTACGTGATTAAGGACATTGTCACATTACACTGCAGCCTTTTTTATGACCTCAGTGGACCAGGGAAGGTTTTGGAGAGTTTCCCTGTTCCTGGCATGGACAGTAAGGTCTTGGTTAGTCTGGTAGTTGGAGGGCCAGGACAAACAGGAGGCTGTCAGTAGCTAATACATTCATTATAAGTAGACCCTGACACAATCAAACACCAAACTCATTAGGCTTGTTACATAATTCCTACCATCTGCTCAGAGACCACAAGACAGTCAGATCCCCTTAAGAAGTTTGCACACAGCAATAGTGGAGGAAAGTGTTTCCAATGAGTCATGTCCAGAGAAAAGAGCCTTTGATTCAATCGTTTTCCTCTTTCTTTGCTGCTTTACTGCAAGGGAGTATCATGGGTTCTCTGCCCCTGCCTCAGCTGCCAGCCGTTACTGAAAAGCTGATATTAACCACAGAAAGATTAATTTATAACAAACTTTGCAGCACTCAACCACTCACTTTCATTATCATTGGATAAATGGATTTGGGGTCCACAGGACTGAACAGGACAGCTTGACAAAGCTAGAGGCTGTGGAGTAGCACAAACCAGACTCACTGCTATATTCTCTGAGCTCTGCATGTACATGGAAGAGATGTCTAGCTGTGCTCTAGTGGCTGCAGCCTCCAGACTGGTAGGAATAACTTTGTCCAGTACAAAGCAGCATACAGCATTGTTCAGAAAAAATATTATATGCCCATACCACTCTACAAGAAAGTTGGGATTGCCTTTTATTGCCCATGGTGGTGAGACCAAGGAGCAGATGGGTTGGTTTTTTCCAGACAGTGGCTACTGAGCTGCAACATTTCAGTATGAAAAACCAGGAAATAGGCTAAGTATCAAATTTTCAGTCACTGTGTAGGCAAGCACTGAAGCACCAAAATATTTGTGGTTGCTTGTACCTAATGAAAAGCAGCAAAGCAACATGCTTTGAGGGAAAGCTACAGAGCCATCTGGAAAAAAATTCAAAATCAAATGAGGTAATTTCTGTGTGAATTACTTTAATAGGTGAAATGAGGCAGAAGGGTGCCCAGATTTGTTTTCATTGGATGAAAAAACCAAATCTTTTGCTAGAGGAAAAAGAAAGTTATACTTATTTAGAGAAACGCATTTTTTTAAAAGTGTAGCCATTTCTGATTTGTACCTAAACCTCTGTTGGCAGGAGACAATAAAAGCACAGTAAGGAAGAGTCCTGTTTTATTTTACCTATGACTCACCAGTGGTCACCAACAGAATAAGGTACTGGTCTAAACGGACCTCTGAGTAGATGATTTTATGTTCCTGATCTTCTTCACATGCTGCCATGGAGATTTTGGAATGGAGGCACACAGATTTCCAAATTTAGCTGTAAACTTCAGGCTGAAATCAACTTAGAAACTAAGAACTATACTGCCTTATTTTTTATTCGGGTATTATTTCTGGACTGTACTGAGGAGATTTTAGATAAGCCTGAACATTCTTCAAATGGGACTTGTTATTTATGTAGATGGGGGCATGAAAGGTACCTTTGACTCACCTTTGGTATTTGGTATTAGTACTTGTATCTTGATGAACTTGCTATTTGCCAATCCCTAACAAGCCCCTCAGCCCTGCCTCCTATGATGAGTTATTTTCAAAGTCTTTAAGCACCTTACATTTAAATAGGCTTATTTAAACATCTTTCCCATCATTTCCAAGAATAAAAGAATTAGATCAAATGTGAAGAGTTTAACTTGCTAAAATATCAAGTGAGAATACAGGCACTGCTGAAATGCTGAGTCCATAAAGAAATATGAAAAAGATTTTTTATGTTTACCTTTGACATTTTTGTTCCATGTTTGATGTTCTAGCTGGAACTGGAAATGTGTTTTTCTTCCTGTTTAGTAAACCACTTTCCACAAGTTGTTTGTTACATGCCATACACAGCTTTCATTAATGGTCCCAAATGTTGCCAGACACTGGGGCTCAACAATAGCAGTTCTCTGCATTTTACCAGAGAAGCATTGCACGTGGGGCACAGAATTCTCAGCATTTCCTAGTTCCCCTGCACTGAGCACAACAGTGGGATGCAAGAGGCTGAGCAATTTCATACAGTTACAGACACTGTCCTGCCTGAAGGTTTGTGTTCATTAGGAACTCTGGGAAGATGTGCCCCTGAGGTGCTTTATTGCAGATGAGAAGGTAGACAGTTCCACCTCTGCTCAGTCAATACCCTCTACCTAATGCAAACTGTTAGTTGTTGAACGTGTGAAAGTGCCACAAGATGCTACCTGAAAACCTCCAAAATCAAATTTTAATACTCAGAGCCTCATAAAGAAATCTGTGTAACCTAAGATTTGAATTTTATTTGGCAGCCTAGAATGTGCATAAAAATGCAAAGATGCAGCTGAGGCCTCTAGAGTTGACCATTTTCAAAGCTGGGTCTGTGCACTCACTGCACTGTGTACCCAGTGTTCCTCTCCACCAAGAGGGACAGACTGCTCAGGAGGACCTTATTATGATAATCTCTGCATTTTGTGCAAATTTGTGATACTTCACTGTTTGTCTATGGGGAAGACAAAAAGCAGATTCTGAGTTCCCTTATTTGCAGAACTGGCAGAAACAGAGACAAAGCAGTTGCCACAGGCTATGCAGTCAACAGCAGAGGTTGGTTTAGGATCCAGATAAAAGTTTTTATCTTCTGCAGTATCCAAAATAAGTGTATTAAATAATTTGGCAAATTTCAATATCAGCTCTTTATTCAGGGCAGGGACTGGGTCACTGTACGATTGCAAACTTCAGGTAAACAAAGAAATATGTAATAATCATATCTTTAAAAGATTAGAACCTTTAGCAATGAATCATTTCTAAAACAAAGGCAAATGCGGAAGAGGGTCATGAATAGCTTCCTGATAGACCAAAATCTTTTCCCACAAACAAGATGCTCAGACATTGTGCAAAGATATGTACTGAGAGATTTGCTTCATTTCTTACCCTCTAAATCAGTTCCCCCCAGACCATTGTGGAAAGCATAGAAAATTAACTTGCCTTAAGAAAAACAAGCACGGCAACTTGGCATTTATCAGTTCCATACACCACGAATATCTGATTGTAACAGCACTATTCATTAGCAATATAAAAATACTATTGCAACTGCTGCACAGAGCTGAAGGGTGACAGCATGACAGATTCCAATATACTTCCAAGAGAATCCCAGAGTGTGATTATCAGCAACTTCTTACCTGACAAGATTGCAAATTGCCGGTGGAGCTGCTCTATTATATCCACTGCTACCAGAGGTCGTATCTCCTGCTGCATGATTTCATCTGTGCAAGGGAAAACAGAAATCTTCAATGAGTTAACAAAGCCTCAATGACAATTTTGCATCCTTTAAGAACTCATCAAAACAAAGATGACACTCATAGAAAAAGAGCCTGGTTGGACTAGTGGTTCAGATGCTGTATGACTATCATGGAGAAGTTTATTATACTTACAGAGTCTCCTCTTCAGCCTACTTACTTCATCTATCTCCTTTGATTTCAGATAGAGCTTTCCATAAACCAGCTCCAGCAGATTTGCCAGAGCTTGCCACAGGTTTGCTCAAGCTGTCAGCCTGCGCCTTACTACTTCAGGTTCCATATTAAATCACTGCATTTGGCCTCCCACTACAGCAGCTCTTCAGTCTTTGAACAGTGAAATCTATTCCACATACTGTGCCATGCTCTGCCCTGAGCTCCCCAGTCTCTGCTGGAGGACTTTGTGTAACCAACGAACCAATCCAGAACAATTTCCTTTCCTGATGCTTTTTCCGCTACAAGCAAATGCATAGTAAAAGGAGGAAATAAGGGGCTGTGAGTCTTTCTTCTCATGAAAACAAAGCCTGTTCTTTTGAAATAAACACTGAAACATTACAAAGTAACTTGGCAAGTAGCTGGGGAAAAATCACCACAACTTTTGTGTGTGATCTAGCAAGTGACAGGCAACTATAACCTCACACTGGGCTAATATGGTCTCTTTCTGGTACCGTGTAACAGGTGCACCCAATTGTTCTCCCCACTCCTCACCTCAGTCTAGACCAGCAACACTTACTGGGGAATATGCATCAACTCAACCGGAAGGATCGAGGTTTATGTTATAATAACACCATTGTGTTTACTCCTTTAGCCACTGTACAGAACAACCACCAGTCCTGGCTTTGTACCGCTCACCTCTAGCTGCCCAGACAACAGGTGGAAGGAAGGAAGCCAAGTCCAGACAGACCACAGACCTGAGGGAAGACAGGCAGTTGCCCTATTTAAGCATCAAGATCTTAATTGATGTCAATACAAGACAAGCACTAAAATACTTTGGTGCACCTGATTTTAAACCAACTGTCCACAAATAGAGGAGGAGGTCAGAGAGGTTACAGATTAGCTTCTTTCTCCTGCATTCCTGTCTACTGCCCAAAATACCATCTCTGTCTTGCTGTCAGACATCCACTCTGATCCTTTCCAGAACTAGGAATCCTAGATTTTAAATGAGATGATGTAATTTCAAAAGTTTTCTGTTCAATTTCAAACACTTCACTAATGCCTTGAGACAAAGTAACTGAAAAACTTCTGTCGTTGCCCTCTCCTAGACAGACAGTGACACAATGTGAAAAGAAGTTGCACAGATTTTGGCTGATGCACAAAAAAAAAGGCAATAATTCCAAGCAGTTGAGAAAAAATGGAAAAAAACATCAAGGGGACTACTTCTGCAAATTCTCCCTTTGAATATAAAAGGGGAAAATTCAAACTAGAATGAGTGATGTTTTTGTTGTGGGACCTTCTTTTCCATCCTGTTTATGATGCTTACTATCAGCACTCTGATTCTTGACATTGCAGGTTGTTAAGAGCAATCGGTAGAGTACAGTAATGAGTCACAACTAGAGCTTGGTGTCAGGGATTGGTATACACTCCCAAAGCAAACAAAATAACAGCAACCCATATTCTTGACTTCAGCATCCAGAAGATGAAGAGATACTGTGACAGCAGTGCAGTCCTATGGGTAGTCAGGCATGCTCAGGTTTGGGTGACCAGAACTAAGATTATGCCAAACAGTTGCAAAAACAGAGCAAAGGTTTCTACAATGGATGACACAATCACAAGGAGGCTTGACAGAAATGGAAAATTAACTAGAAAAGGTGCTCCCATCTCTAGCCTTTCAGAGACTTTCATCCTTCCAGGGTAACAAACCTGCCAGTACCATAGTTTGGCTTTTGATGTTTGCCAGTGTGAAGACACCATTAAGATCAATCTACTTAGTCTTAAGCTAAAAAGAAATTCCACCACTACTCCCCCCATATTAGGTTTACTAGCTTGCTCTGAAAATAGCTTGGTCTCTGGTTTCTAAATACACTTTTTATTCCAAAAGAATTTTATGATGTAAGGATAAGATAAAATAATAGGAACAAGAACTGCAGGGTACCAGTTAGTTCTCATCAAGTCCCCTGTGTGAGCTAGATGAACCACATGGGATCTGTGGCAAAACCCACACTCAGGAGGAGGCATTCTGATGATGAGAAAGGTGGTACAAAATACATTTGGTGACCAGGAGTCACACATTCAAGGAAGCGAGCACAGCTCACAGACTGACATGCTGGGAAAAGAAATTGTAGCAGAAGAAACTAGCAGGAGACTGAGAAAAAACTGAGGAAACAAAGGAAGGTGGCTCGTGGGCCCAAATGGCAAATTAGATCTTGTGGCTATGAAATGTCACAGCTGCAGCCATCCAGCACACAAGGTCACATATGCATCTTCTTCTAGGACAGTGTTTAAAGGTAGTTACTATCCAATATGGACGAATGTGTAACACCATCACAGCACAGAGCTTGTAGTAGAAGTCCTGATCCTTGGAAACATGATCAGCTGGGGCTGCTGGCAGAAGTTTTTAATCTTTGACTAAAAGAAAAGCCTGAAAAAAATCTTAGAAGCAAACCGAAAGACATGGCTCTGAGTTTGTTTCAAAGCCATGACATTTTGCCTAGCATTAGTGAGCACTAATCCATTTATATCTTCCACTAACTTTATGCCAGGAGGCTCTGCAGCCTCTTTGGTCTGTGCACTGCAAGCCACAAGCTTGCAGGAAGTGGTATTCACCCTCTCAGGCAGAACCAATGTACCACTTTCCTGTGCAAATGATGTCCCAGCTGAGAAAGCCCTGCTTCAGGCTGACATCAGCTGATATTGAGCTGACAGCCGCAGGTTCATAGACTGCTTCAGAAAAACTTATTGATGATGTTTTAATTCACTACACAGGAACCCAGAGGTCAAAAGGAAGGCCTTAGGAAGCTGAAAAGCCCCAGGAGCTTGACAACTGTCTTGTTTCATTGCACCTTGCTAATATCTACAGAAGAGATTGGACAACCCTATGTCATTTCAGAGCAGTCCTGTCCTCTGATAAAGTCTGTATAGGCTATGCCACTCAAGATCAGAACAAAACATACACCAGCCAAGTGGCTAAAACACATTTATCTGGGCAAACTTGACTCAGACATTTCCAGGCTCCTGTGTGATTGTTCTTGTGGTCTTCTTTTCTTTTTTTTTTTTTCAATTGAAGCATCAGTTATCCATAGCCTCTAAAATGTGTTATGTGAAACAATGCCAATCCCCTACATAGGTCACCAAAGCTGAACATTTACACATATCATACAGTTCTTCATTACTTGAACTAAATCAATTTGCCAGGTCAAATAAAATGTGAATAAGGATGAAATAGAAGAGGAAAAAATAAAAAGAAACAAGTCAGTTCATCTACTCTTTGTTCTCCTCTTGAACTGCTATAAATTCAACTGCTAGCAGAGGGCAGCTTCACTGCAGAAGAATTAGGCCTTACAGTTTTGCTTCCCAAGATTTTCTACCAAGGGTGAGAAAAAGAAAAGCAATTACTATAGCCATCTGTCTGGCACAGCTTCTCCTCTCTCCCAGCTCTCTAGGGAGGCTAGCTGCAACTGTGCTATCTAATCTTTGAGGGAAAGGCCATTCAGTTATGCTTCATAATTCCTCACTCTAAAATGAACCATGCTTGGGCTTCCCCCCACACACACTTGCCTGTTTTATTTCTCACCACAGCTGTATGCGTTCCCACAGCAGGTCTGGAGGAGCTACACCAACAGCAGCTGATTAAAAGCAACAATGAATATAATCTTGTCCCTTCCTGTCTTCTCTGAGTAGAGTGAAACTCCTTTACACGCTAATGGCAAATAATTGTTTCCAACAGTGCTGGAAAGATGACCTGCTGGAGTGAAGGGTTGGACTGTGCCAAGCAGATTGACACAGCAGTGCCTGTAGCTCCACGAAGGACAACTAAAGGCCACCAGCCACAACAGGACACACTGGGGCTTCTTTGTTTTCCAGTGACTGAATGCTACAACTGCCTGGCCTTCTGCTGACTAGAGGAGAGGCTTGATTCAGTCCCCCATCTAAAGTCACTAATCTTGGAATAATGGGGTACAAACTTCCAGAGCAAAGTTAATTTCTTCTTAATGACAGTCTAATAGGTAATTCACAGGAAAGAAAGACAGCTGGGAGTGAAAGAAAATATTTTCTAGAATTGTAGAGCACACCAGCCTACTTCTACTTTGTGCAAAGCTCAGTTAAAAATTCTGCTCAGAGCATTCAAATCAAAAATGTGGGTTTGGGGAAATATCAGACTGGGGATGAGATGGAAAAGGGTCAGATAGGGTTAAACACAGGGCCAGATATTTCATTTTTAGAGCGTGAAAGGACACCCCACATTATGTGTTCTTATTCTTCTTTAAAAAGTACCAAAAGACAACACACAAATCCAGAGTTTGAAAGTTGCGGAGTACCCACAGTTCAAATGTTCTCTCAGGCCCTTTGTCTGCTTTGCTTGCCATGGACAACAGTTAGCTAAGAGTCTTAGCAGAGCTAAGTTAGATTTCAAGAATTAAACACACTAAGGAAACAAATTTGCATGTTGCACTGATAAGGTTTAAGCAGGCTAAAGGACTTGAAAATATTCTGTCCCACCAGAATTCCCAGTACAAACCCTTCAGCAAAACATTTCCTTTCCTGAAGGTCAAAAAGAACTTCAAAATTACTACATCAGAGAAAGAATCTCTTGGTTTGGTTTTTTTTTATATATATATTATTTCTATTTATTTCTCTTTCTCACCATTTGTGCCCTTTTTTTATGTTTTGAAATTGTTTGTTTACTCTTTTAGCCCCATCAGAGAAACAGCAAGATCACTTACTGATACAAGCTCCTGTGCTGCATATTGTTTGCTCTAAAGAGGAACTAAAAATTCAGCTATAAACAGAAAGGAAATCCCATCCTTTCTCTT